TTAACAAGCTGTGAACATCAGGACACTTTTTGACTGTTTCATTTTGCACCCAGTTATTAATGTGAAAGTCCTTGGCATTAAATTGATCCATTTATCGTAAAAATTGATTGATTATAAATAAAGTTATATGCCTTTTTAAGTTACTATGTCCTTATGTGACAAGACTTTTGTCAATGACTGTATATGATCAGCTGATCGTACAGGCTGCCTGGACCGGTGCCGCCACGCCCCCCGGTTCTGTCTCTGTTCCAGGGAGCCGCTTCTCTGGCCCAGTGCCAGTACCATGGATCTGCTGCTCTGGTGAGGGCGTCAGTATGCGACAGGTGGAGACCCGATGGGGACTGTGAAATGCCACCACGTTGATGGTGTCTGACTCGAGCGGATCCCCAAGCCTGCAAGAGACAGGTCACACAGCACTGCCGGGCAACCAGAGAGATGCGGCCAAGCTGAGTTCCGGCTCAACAGGGCCCCTACCTATCCTGAAGCTTCTTTAGGCTGAGCCGGTACCACTCCCTCTCCCAGGCCAGTTTCCTCTGGGTTTCAGCGACCCGCTGGGCTGTCATCTGCTTCACCTCCTCCTGAAAGCTCTGGTCCAGTGTCCGCTCCTGAACCACACCAGGACATTGTCAAGAAATGGGTGGGCTGGAGAAGGGGCTGAGTGGGGTAGACCTAGAGTGGGGTGGGGCAGAGTCAGGTGGGGGGAGGGGCAGGTACCGTGTGACTGGGCAGCTCCCGGGTCCTCCACTGCAGCTCCCGGAAGCGCTTCTGCAGCTCGACCAGCTCTCTGCGCAGCTCTACTTTCCTGTGCTCGGCCTCCTGAGCAAGGCGCTCCAGCTCAGTGCACTGCCTGGCTGTCTCAAGGCTGTGAACAGCAAATTAGCGAACAGATTAACCAGGTTAAACTACCATGGAGAGCCTGCTGAGTCCCAAACAGGCCAGCAGGGGGAGCTGGAAACACACTGACCTGTAGGCTTGGGGGTCCTCTATGTCCTGGGCCACTTTCTGTCTGGGCAGAGGTGGGGGGGGTGAGGCTGTCTCCTGGTCTTGTGGGATGCCAAGACCCCCCCACGGGGCCAGCAGGCTGAAGGAGAAGATGTTGCCGTCGTCGCCAACAGTGAGCACAAAACGGTCATCGTGGCTACAGCGAATGGCGCGCACGGTCCCGTTCTGGCTGTAATGGACGCCAAGGACCCAGGAGGCCCGGAGGGAGCAGAGGTGCGGGTCTTCAAGCTGTAGAGGGTATGCCCGGAGACGACCTGTCTGCATGCCACACAGGAGCAGCTGGCCGCCACAGCTGAGAAAGGGAGGGAAGGCAGGAGGGTGAGAGTGGGCAGCCCAATCCCCCTGGCCAAAACCCTCCACCACCGCATCCACATACCTGATGCTGACGCACTGCACAGCATCATCCTCCCCATGCCCCAGCGGGACGACGGCAAAGGGCTCATCATGCCGACGCTCGGCCGCCTGCTCCTGCTGACTGGAAAAGCGGCAGTGGTACAGGAAGCCGGCATCAAAGCCACCCTATACACAGAGAAAGGAGTGTGATATCTGTGAGCTTGACCACTGCATCGTGTTTGTTTGCCTGACCATGTCCCCATCTGGGCTTCTGACCACATTTCTGACTGTGAGTCTTTCCAGGTCCTCCTCTGGAATCCCAGCTACAACCCTGACTGTGAGCCTTACCATGTCCCCATCTGGAATTTTGACTATATCCCTGTCTGGGATCTTGACCTCTGTGAGCCTCACCACATCCACGCTTGGAATTCTGACCACATTCTTGTCTGTGAGCCTGGCTATGACCCCATCTGTGAGCTTGAACACATCCCTGTTGGTGATCCCAAGTTCATCTGTGAGCCTGACCATGTCCCTGTCCGTGAATGCATCTGTGTCTCTGACAGTGTCAGTACCAATGTGTCATACCATAGACAACCAGAATGATCCAGGCCCAGAATAGAAGCCGCACAGCAGGGGGCTGGGGGGGTCGGGGATGTACAGAGGAGGCAGATCCTCCTCTTCACCCCATGGCTCCTTCTCCTCCAGGGACTCCTTCAGCTGCTGCTCCTCTTCCACTCTTCTCTTCTGCTTCTCAGCCTTCCTCCTGGTAACCTCCTCATCCCGCTGTGGCAGAAAACGCTATCAACAGGGCGTGCACAGTGATCTAAAGAACATCGAGTAAAACACACACACACACACACACACAGCTCATATATTCTTATCATTGTGAGGACCCTCCATTCATTACTATGGGCATGATCCTAACTGTGACAACCTTAATCCCTATCCAGCTCTAATATTAACCATAAGCAACCATACAAAATATAAGACTTTTGGCTATTTCAGTTTTTGACTGCATTCTCAAGTTTTTATTAAATTAAGGTTCACATTGCAGGGACCTAAAAAAATAAGTTACAAGCTAAAAAAATAACAGTTTTACCACATTCAGGGGACATCTGGTCCTCACAATGTGGTAAATACAAACCCACACACAAAGTAACGCACTGACACACACACAGTAACACACAATAACACATTGACACACACACAGTAACACACTGACACACACACAGTAACACACTGACACACACACAGTAACACACTGACAAACCCTGATGTGGGACTTCACGGAGTGGAAGTGGAAGTGCATCCGGGGCAGGTCTTCAAGCTCATAGCTATGGTGTCTGGGAGCCCGGCTGCCCGGCTCTGGGGCCCCCACTTCCACCACGTGGCCATTCTCACACAGGATTAGCAAGGCCTTCCTGCCCTGGGGGGGGGGGGGGTGGCACAGGAAGTTCAGACTGAAGATGGGAAGGCATGTGGTGGAGGGTGAGGTGGGAAGGGGGGCAATCGGGGCGGGGCATTTACCTGTGATGGTGGGGCCCACTGCAGGGAGCACACTGGCCCAGGCACCGTGATTAACCCGATGGCTTCGTATGGATCGCCCACCACAAAGAAAAACACAGTCCCATCTTTGCTCTGGGAAACGGAAGGTGGGGGATGGTCAGACAGCAGGCATTGGCAGAGAAAATTCTGCCCCTATAGTGGACGCCCCTAGACTCACACCCGTGGCCAGCAGCCTTCCGCTGGAATGGAAAGCGATGGCGCTGACAGGACCCCAGTGGGGCTTCACCGCCTGCCGGAGCTGCAGCTGGGCACCATCGGGGGAATAGCCTCCCTCCTCTGGGGGCAAGAAGAATTCCAGGAGGCGCAGGAGGCCATCCTCAAAGCCCACAGCCAGGAGCTGCCCCTAGGGACAGACACAAGCCCTGAGGACAGACACATACTGGGGACAGACATATGCTTGGGACAGAAACATGTGCTGGAGACAATGGGGACAGACACAAGCCATGGGGACAGGCACACATGCTGGGGACAGTGGGGTCAGATACACTCACAGGGGACAGACACAGACATAAAGGGGCTGGACAATAAAATACCTGATTTTAGACCACAATAATTTATTAATATGGTGTAGGGCCTCCTTTTGCAGCCTATACTGCATCAGTTCATCTGGGGAATGACAGATTCAAGACCTGCATGGTGGCCAGAGGGATTCTGAGCCATTCCTTTTGCAGAACAGTGGCCAGGGCACTATGTGATGCTGGTAAAGGAAAATGTTTTGCTCCTCTAAAACACCCCAAAGTGTTTCAATAATAATCAGATCTGGTGACTATGCAGGCCATGGGAGATGTTCACTTTCATGTTCATCAGACCACTCTATCACCAGTCTTACTGTGTTTATTAGTGCATTATCATCATGATACACGGCACCACCTTCAGGGTACAATACTTGAACCACAGGGTGAACATGGTCCTCCAAAATGGTTTGGTAGTCCTTCGCAGTGATGCGCCCATCGGGAACAAGTAGGCCTAGGGAATGCTAGGATATTGCAGCCCAAACCACCACTGATCCACCCCTGTGCTGCACTCTAGGTAGGCAACAGTCTGGGTGGTAACCCTCTCTGGGCCTTCTCCACACTGTAACTGATATGGGAAAGACCTTTGGGGAAGACAGCGAAGGTGGGCTCATCAGAGAACAATACATGTTTCTCACTGGCAACAGCCCAAGATACGCGCTGCTGGCACCATTGAAACTGATGTTTGGCATTGGCACAAGTGACCAAAAGTTTGGCTATAGCAGCCTGACCACGAATATTGACCCTGTAGAGCTCCCAATAAATAGTTCTGTTGGAAACAGGAGACCTGAAGTGCGCATTTAATTTTGCAGTCAGTTGGGAAGCTGTGGATTTATGTTTTTTTTGGATATAATCGGGATTAGTGCCCGGACATCCCTTTCAGACAGCTTCCTACTATATCCACAGTTACTCCTGTTGGATGTGGTCCATCCTTCATGATGGTATACCAGCATTACCCTGGATACTGTGGCTCTCGATACAACACAAAGGCTTGCTGTCCTTTCTGTGCTAGACGCGCACCAAAAATTTGTCCACTTTTGAGCTCTGATATGTCTCCTTTTTGTTGTGGATTGCAATATTTTATTTACAGCTGTTCTATTTGCTCTGCTAATTCAACCTTCACAATCAACTCTTACTGATGGAATGTACAATCAGTGAGAATTTGCCACCAGGTCAGGTCAGGTCAGATTGGGGAGCATGCGCTGATGCAGCACGTTGCCGCCCACCACACAGTGAAACTCCTCGGGAGCCCGGCCAGCGATCCCCCAGACAGACACACGGTCCAGTCCCACCCTCTGGAAATGGCCATCCATCTGCTGCAGCCAGGTGTTATGTGGGCATCTCCTTGGCCTGGTCCAGCTGCTTGGGTCCTCAGCAATGAGGATCCTGTGAGCCGGATCACCCTCAGGAAAACGCGCCACATGGCCGTAGTGCCACCAGGCCGCGCATATATAGGCATGAAACCTCAGGAAACTTTCATTGTGCGACCCCTGTATATACTGTCCCTCATACACACACACACACACACACACACACACACACATATATAGTATCTCACCCCACGGGGCTCCCAGGTGACTGTAGTTGCATTCTGTCTGAACCGGCTGCAGATCAACTCCCTCTGAGCCAGCAAGTCAAAAACCCTGACAGAGCCTGAGGGGCAGAGAGACACTCAGTCACATCGTGTCTGTGGCTTTCTCTGTATGTGTCTGTGTCTGGGTTTCTGTGTGTGTGTCTCTGCATCTGTGTGTGTCTGCGTGTCTCTGTCTCTGTCTATGTCTGTATGTATAGTGTGGACCATACATATTTGCACAGAGACAAAGTTTTTCAATTTTTAAGTTCTGTACATTACCACAATAAATTTTAAAAGATGCAGCTGAAGTGCAGACTTTCAGCTTTAAATGAGTGGGTAGAACAAAAACATTGCATAAAAATGTGGGGAACTAAAGTAATTTTTCTACACAATCCCCTCCTTTCAGGGGCTCATAAGTAATTGTATAAATTAATATAACTGCTATTAAAATGTTCAATTCTAATACTTAGCTGAAAACTCTTTGCAGGCAATGACTGCCTGAAGTCTTGAACTCATGGACATGACCAGACGCTGGGTTTCCTCCTTTTTAATGCTCTGCCAGGCCTTTACTGCAGCAGCTTTCAGTTTCTGTTTCTTTGAGGGTCTTTCTATCTGTAGTTTAGTCTTTAGCAAGTGAAATGCATGTTCAATGGGGTTGAGATCAGGTGACTTGGCCATTCGAGAATATTCCACTTCTTTGCTTTAATAAAGTCCTGGGTTGCTTTTGCTGTGTGTTTTGGGTCATTGTCCATCTGTATTATGAAACGCTGCCCAATCAATTTAGTTGCATTTGGCTGGATTTGAGCAGATATGATGTCTCTGAACACCTCAGCATTCATTTGGCTGTTTCCATCCTGTGTCACATCATCAAGAAACACTAAAGACCCAGTGCCACTGGCAGCTATGAACGCCCAAGCCATCACACTGCCTCCACCATATTTTACTTGATGTTCTTTGGATCATAAGCTGTTCCAGCCCTTCTCCATACTTTTTTCTTTTCATCATTCTGATACAGGTTGATCTTGGTTTCATCTGTCATTCATGCTGTTCCAGAACTTTACTGACTTTTTTAGATGTTTTTTTTTGCAAAGTCCAATCTAGCCGTTCTACTATTAAGGTTTATGAGTGGCTTGCATCTTGCAGTGAACCCTTTGTATTTGCTTTCATGCAGTCTTCTCTTTATGGTAGACTTGGATATTGATACGCCTATCTCCTGGAGAGTGTTGTTCACTTGGTTGGCTGTTACAAAGGGGTTTCTCATCACAATGGAAATGATTCTGCGATCATTCACCACTGTTGTCATCCATGGACATCCAGACCTTTTTGCATTGCTGAGTTCACCAATGCTTCCTTTCTTTCTCAGGATGTACCAAACTGTAGATTTTGCCACTCCTAATGTTGTGGCAATTTCTCGAATTGTTTTTTTGCTGTTTTCGCAGCCTCAGGATGGCCTGTTTCACCTGCATAGTGAGTTCCTTTGACCGCATGTTGTATGTTCACACCTCAATCTTCCAAATGCAAACAACACACCTCAAATCAACTCCAGGCCTTTAATCTGCTTAATTGATAATGAAAGAAAGAATTGCCCGCACCTGTCCATGAAATAACTTTTAAGTAAATTGTCCAATTACTTTTGGCCCCTTTAAAAAGAGGGTGGCACATGTTAACGAGCTGAAATTCCTAAGCCCTTCATCTAATTTGAATGTGGAAACCCTAAAATGAAATTTGAGAGTCTGCACTTTATGTCCATGCCCATTGTATAAGTTCAATTGGAATATATTTCAGTAAACAGGTAAAATAGTAAAACTTTTGTCAGTGTCCAAATATTTATGGTCCTGACTGTATTTCTGTGTCTGTGTTTCTGTATCTGTGTCTGTACATACGGTCCAGTGCGCTGGTGGCCATAAGGTGGCTGGTTCTGGACACGTCCATACTGACGATGGGTCCGGAGTGGAAGGTGAAAATCGCTTCTGGGTCCCTGGTCTGAATCACACATAGCCAGCACATGATGGGCTCCAACACACACAGTGTAAACAAACACACACACACACACACACACACACAGAGGCACAGATTCACCATGTTGGAGAAGGAGAGGTCCAGCTTCCAGACAGCCCCACCAGAGTCCTGTGGACAGAGAGGCATTTCGCTTTAAGATTGGCACCTCTCCAGGAGTCGTGGGGTCACGGCGGTCAGCTGACCTTCCCCTCTGACCTGGGCAAACCAGATGGAGGATCCTTGGGTGGTGCCCTTCACCATGGACACCAGACACACACCACGGCCAACCAGCACCTCATTCATGGGCTCCAGCTCGAAGAGGTCGCTGCCGTCGGAGGAGTCTGCACCATCCATGCTTTCAAAGTGCCAGGCCTGTGGGGGGAGGGGGGTGCGAGCAGATGTCATCAGGGTGTGAGGGGCATAGAGGTCATCACCGTGCAATGGCAGAGGGGCGGCACTCACCCTGATAGCACCGTCAATGCCGACAGTCAATATCTCGCCCTCATCCAAGACAAACTGGCGGATGGCGCCATTGTGACAGGGCCGGCCGCCCCTACGGCAGATCTCCACCTTGATCAGAGCACCCTCCCACAGCAGCATGTTGCCCCACTCTGACCCCGACAGCACCTGCACCCAGGTGGAAGGACAGAGGCACCATTGGCATCAGCATTTCTGATGTATGCCTTACCTCGAAGGGGGGGGGGGGGGGGCACCTTTCCGTCCGGAAACTCCACATAGCCCTCGATGTCTGTGGGTGTCGTCCTCCCAAACCTTCCCAGCTGCCCCTGCAACTTGAGGCCTGTGAAGGAACTGGCCATCTTCCAGAACCTGTGAGGAGCCGCAGGCAGAGCCATGAGGCTGTGGGGGGGGGCACTGTGTGTGTGTGGTGGGGGGGGAGGAGGATGCATGGAGCTCACTTGATGTGTCCGGCCCCAGAGGTGGTAAGCTGAGCAGGGCTGTCAGAGGAGAAGGAGATGCGATAGACATCCTGGGAGGCGGCCTTGCAGCGGAGCAGCACGCGCTCCTCACGCCACGCCCACAGCGTCAGCATGTAGTCGGGGGCACCACCCACACTTGCCAGCAGGAGGCCCTCGTGGTCAAAGGCCAACGTGGTGTAAACCCAGGCAGTGCCCCCTGGGAAGAACATGACAGGGCTTCAATTCATTATATACTGTCATATATTGCAGAAAATTCTTGTGTACGTTTGTGGAGGAGGGTGGTGATAAATTGGGGCTCTTGCCTCTTAAGATGCGAAACGGCTGCAGGGAGGGGAACTCGTACACGACGATGTTGGGTCGGTTGCCCTTCTCTGCCACAGCCAGGAAATGCCTGCTGGGGTGAACCTGAGCACCGGAGGCACAGAGAGAGAGAGTGCACACTGCTGCTTAGTGACGGGTAGGTCAGAGGCTGGCCATAACCTGAGCAGAACCCTGCCAAAATCCAGCCAGAGCCCAGTCAGAGCCTAGTCAGTACCCAGCCAGATCCCAGCCAGAACCCAGTCTGAGCTCAGTCAGAACCCAGTCCGAGCCCAGTCAGAACCCAGCCAGAACCTAGTCCAAGCCCAGCCAGAATCCAGCCAGGGCACACCACACACGTAATGGTACCATGATGGCGCCAATGCCCTCCCCACTGCAGCTGCTGATGTAGCGCTGCTTCCTGGCGCACACATCCAGAAAGACAAGGAAGTTCCCGGCGATGAAGGTCAGTGTGGACTCCTCTAGCAGCTGCAGGTTGGCCCGACGCCGGCAGTCGTACCCGAACGAGTGACTGAGGTGTTAAGGAGAAGGGCACCTCCCAGAGGTATGTGTGTATGAGTGTGTGAGAGTAGGGGGCAGGGCAGGAAGGATACTCCAGGCTGAGAAGGTCAGTGGGGATGTTGGCCTCTGGGCTGACTTCGGGGCCTCGCCATAGCTGCTTACGATCGTAGTGCATGTGCTCCAGGGGGCACCCCATCCCTGGCTGTCCTGCTCGCACCGCACAGAGAAGCAGAAAGGCCCTGTGATCCATCAGCAGAGCAGCAGCAAGGAGGAGAAGAGGCGAGGGGGAGCCCAGCTCCTACCAGTGCTGCCCAGCATGATGGACCCCAAGGGCACTGCTCCAGTTTCCTGGCTCATCTGCAGACTGTCTGCGGCTTCAGGGGGAGATGCACAAAACGCTGTCCTCTGGCAATTTTTATTTCATTACTGTTATTATTGCTTTTTAATGAGGTGGGAATGAAAGTGGGAAAAAACTGGTACTGTTTGTGGCCAAATACAAAATAACAGTGTAAATTAAAGACTCAGTACGTCACCAGCTCACTAAGCTTTAAAACTGTCATCGGTAAGTGGATATAGGAATAGGGAGAAGAGTGTTATTACCGGTTCATTAAATAAAAAAACATTACAGGACGTCTTTTGATATTTGGTGCAATTATACGACATCGATCATATCTTAACTAATTTTCAAGTAAATAAAGTTTTCAAAAAACTACTTTACCTTCTGGGACAATTCGCTTTGACTGACCCTCCAACCATACCATTTTCGTTGCTTCAGGTTGCTCAGCAACCGCCAACAAGCACAATGGCACACGCAAAGACGTACAGTGAACGTATCAGCGCAGAGCATTATGGTAAATGTAGTGGCGTAAACTGAGCAGTCGGTCGGAGCTCTTCGCTGACCATATATCAGCTGGGAGATCCTAAAGTCGCACAGTTCCGAAAAAATTTCCGTCCGGATGGTAAGATTTATTTGTAGATATATTCGCTTCAGTAACCAAAGTGCACAATAGACATTAGTCAGCTCAGCTGTATTAGGTTTTCAGCTGCGCCGTGAAATGAGGAAGTGAAAAGTGTGAATCCACTTTCAGTATTGGGGTAAACTAGGGCTGCTCTGGGGTTAATGCGGGTTATACTCAGAATCGATCGCAAACACCAAGCATTCAGCTGGACGATGAAGCGAGATGCCAGGTGACTACTATCTTTTCATTGCAAATCTTTTGTCCATTGAAATTTTGTTCAGATTATTCCAGTGAATAACAGCTATATCAAGACGTTTAAATGTACCTGACGTGTGTATCAGTGGGATTTGTGCTAATCGGCTAAATATTTAATGAGAACTTTAACTGCGGTTATTCATTTAATCGAACTTTACATTGAACTATGTTTTAGATGAGATCAGGTTTGATATTTGCAATAGTAAACGTTTTCTGTGTCATCAGATAAAGAGTGGAAAGACCTGGATGGGCCGATGGAGCCTCCAGCAGAAGTAAAGTCACGCATTAGTAAGTGGGAATCGGCCCATCACGTGCTGATGGCACTCTTTGCACCCCAGGCTAGGGATGGGCGACACCACTGATTTTCTTTTCGATCTAATTACTATGCGATCAAGTGTTGGTATCGCTGATACTGATCTCCATACCAATATTCAGTGCAGGCCCAAGGGAGGGGGTTACCTAGTATGTGGCCCCCTTCCCCTTTCTCCCCCCATATGGTAGGTATGTCACAAAAAATTTCAAAGTTGTTGGATTTTTACAAAAATAGCACCAGAAGAAACGGCTTGATAAGACCTTTCCAATGATACCAAGAACTTATTTCTGTGATGAATGGCAAGAAATTTATAGGATATTTTGTAACACCAATTAAGGCTTATTAACATCCACTTAGTAACAGATAAAACAATGGAGAACCATACTTGACTTTGTGACCTGTTTATGGTGTTCAGAAAAATGAGCATAACTCTGTTATTGTTTATCAGATTTTAATAAACTAGGTATCATTAGAAAGCTTATTCCTTGCCTAACAGTCTCAGATACACTGAAAATAAAACAAATAATTATTTAATTTATTTGTCTGTCAATTAACTCACCG